ATGTATGTATTTGAAAGAACAGAGAAGCAGGGTGGGAGAGAGAGAGAAGGAGAGAAGGGGAAGTCGCTAATATCTGGGGCTCCAGCGGCCGCGCAACTCGCGCCCTAATCGAACTCTACAAGTCGCTTATTCTCCATCCCCACTCCCCACACCTAGCCCCTCCTTCGGTAGGCAACCCGTACTCGAGAGGTCTCCCTTTCGCTCACTCATGCTTGCTCTTTTCACGAGAGAAGTATTGAAGTACTCCCGTCCACTGTATCCAAGATCAAATAGCACTTTATGCAACGTGAAATTAGAATTGCTTTGCGCTGTCGGTTTATCGTTCCACAGCGCGCAGCAACCACCGTCTTTTGTCTCGATACGTTCTTTTTTTTTTAATGAACCAAGCAGTCGAGCCAATCGTATCACAAACACGAAATAACAATAACACGTGCATTCGCGCGCATGTGCTTTATAATTAAGATCAAAATAAATCCACTATGTCGCGATGTGCTCTAAACTTGTATAATTTAGAATTTCTACCTTTCTTATTGATTACTTGCATGTTCATAAATAATTATAATCAAGTTTTTTTGACTGGTTGTAATTACCGGTAACCTTATAGATCATTTTCGAGCGTGCTACTATTTATAAAATTTTGGTCTAAACATATACTATTTATTAGATATTTGAAGAACACTTACCCCTGAATCTATTCCTTGAGTATTTGGTGTTGTTGATCGTTGTTGCAAGTTGTGGAAACTCTGTACACAGTAAAATAACTTTTTATATATTACATAGATATATTTATTTTTCTGACTTCAAAACTTTCTAGTTCCCTATTTTAAGTTTGTCTTTTCCACTAATAACATAATGGCCTAATAATTTACATATATATACAAATAAAATAAGAAAACAAAAGATTGACTTTATGACTCTTGTTTACATGCCCAAATGGTCGTTTCTTATGTCATTAATGACATTCATTAACATGCTAGAAACATAAAAAATACATTTTTTGTCTACACAGCTTACTTGAGATTGGCCAGTTGACTGTGGTTGTGGAGATGCAGAAGGTGGTGGTGCTGGAGATTGTGAAAGAGCACGTTGTGGTGATTGATTTGAAGGATTAGCTTGATTAGCTGGAGGTGGTGGTGGATTTGGCGGTCCACCTTGATTCCATCCTCTTTGCTCTGTGTATAGACTGGAAGGATGACTGGTTTGTGTTGTATATGAATTTAGCTGTAAGACACAAGTTAATTAGTATCAATGATTACTTAATTGAATAAACTTTAGAATCATTATAATACATACCTGATGGTGACTATATGGTGCATGAGGTCTTGCAGGAGAAGAATAACGTTGTGTATATTGTTGATATGGCATAGGAGTTGGAGAACTTGGCCCTCCAGGCCCTGCATGTAATCTTGGTGACCCCTATTCATCATATGGTGCATTTAATTACATGATTATCAACAAGATAATAAAAGTTACATTTTATAAAGAACAAACATACATACATCAATAAAAGCAATGATCTAAAGCTACAACTAAACCAAAAACTGAACTCATCTCAAAAAAGTTTCTGTACAATTACCAAACAAAGATTCTTATACTCACCGTCTGTGGAGGCCGTTGGCCAGGTTGTGGATAAACTGGAGGAACAACTGGAGGTCGCTGAATGGGCCATGGTTGTTGATAGGGCTCTGGTCCCATACCAGGATAGTTTCCATGAAATCGGTGCACAGGTGTAGATGCTTGAAGTAACTGATTTAACGTAGGAGTAGGACCAGTAGCTTGTGATATACTTTGTCCCGATAGAAACCTTGGTTGTCCTGGAAAACTGCTTGGTGTAGCCCCTACATATGCCAATCGTGATTCAATCTTGGAGGCTGCATAATGCTCTTCCATCTCAGCCCGATGAACTCTTTCACTTTCATGTATTAAGTGTTTACCATGATAATCCAACTGTTTCCCTGGAAAGTCTCCATGCTTTCCCACATACTCTGGTACCTGCTTGCCTGGATAATCAGTCAACGACTTGGAGGGAAATTCGTTTGATTTGTTGGTATACTCCTCCGGGTAATCACGTATAACGTTCGACGTGAACGGATGTCCGGGATGGTTCGGATGCCCGGGCGCGTCGAGAGGCTCTTGCTTGCCGATAGATTCTTGGGGAGCCTGTCCAGCCTCTCTGGGTGATTTTACCTCACCGGCAGTGTGTCCACCAATGTCCTCGCGGTATTGACTCATCTCGAAACCCGTGTCCCCGCCGCGATTCACATATTTAAGCAGCTGGGCCGCGCCCCGGGGCACTTTATCACCCGGCTCTGGATCCAGCTGCTGCTTCGTATTAACACTCGCACTATTCCCACCGACTTGCGGACGTTTCTGTGCACATTTCACGGACTCGTTCAGCTTCACATCGTTTTGTTGGCTCTCGGCTTGCGTCGCAGCCATGTTCTCTCCTCACGGAGCCATCGTCGTCTCATAAACTGGCCAATCGCGGGACCTCGTGTGTCTCGCGTACTATGTACTCGAAATCGAAATCCTTTTCAGTTGAATCTCTCCTATCGTACTTAACTCTTTCCACCACATCCTCAGTCAGACTAGCGAGGACTAAGCACCGTACTAACAATTTTTGCTTCCTGCCGTTTTCAAAGTAGAAGGAACCAAAAAAAAAACTCATACACGAACGTCAAAAGCAGCGTCGCATGTATTACGCCATCTTGCGGCTGTATCACGAACCAGTCGCGTTCAATTCTTGTCCACAATCGGCGACTTTTCGCAAAAATGAGTATCATTGACTTTCCTTCGAATTATAATTTACACTTCTGCCTCTAATGAAAATTCTCCTGTATTTTGTAATATCTGAGATATCAAACGAAATGCGCTCATTTTTAACTTTCATTTTCAAAGATTGATCGTTTCTTTCATGTAATACAGCAATATGTATTCGAATGAATATATTAATGCAATTCAATCGTTGAAATTATTAGATGGTATTAATTCTGTTACATGTTTATGTTTTAGAGTTAGAATAGCAAAAGATATTGAAACGCAGTAAACGATTATCATAATAATACATGATTAATGTTGTCAATACTACACGCTTACCTTTTTTTTATTTTTCGTGAAATTTATAAAAAGCATGATAGAAATCGGTTATAATGTAATTATCTGATTTTAATGTGTGATTCCATGCATAAGATATTTATTTTAGCGCAAGCGCACAAAATATACTACACACGAGAGATTTAGATGCAGTTGCTCTCTTTTTTAGTATTTATTCTAAATTTTTATACGAGGAAAAATTAAATAAAAATTTATTTAATTTGCTTCCATCTTCGTGTTCTGTAAATATAATTGACCTGAGTTTTAATATTTAACTAACTTAAAAATAGCTGTATAAAATAGAAAGCATATATAATGCTATATAACTCTTTAATATGGATTTTCTCAAATATTAACTTCAGAAATTAAAATATTACTGAAAAATACTAAAATATTGTCATTAATAAAAAGTAATTGAAGTTAGCAATTTTTTTAATAATTGTATTAATACTATATTTCATAACTTTATAGAATATTGCTGTAATTCTTTAAAAATATTATATAAAAAGAATTGAATTAAGAAAGTATAATGTAAAACAGATATCTAAAAGATAAACTTGAAAAATAATGTGTATTTATATTATATATACAAATGTCAAATGAGTGATAATATGGCGCTTACTGTAGTTTACTACAGGTAATAAGTGATACATGGTGTAATGTTAGTTATAAAAAAATTTATACAAAATTACGATAAGAGTAAGATTGTAAATGTAAAACATAAATCCATGGATATTATATGATTGTTTAGTATCAATAATTCTGCACGTACTCTTATCGCGTACATGTGTCATTATGTACATACTATACGGAGTAGAAAAAAGTCCCGCGGAAGGAATGCGGATTTAATTGGGCAGAGTGGATGCAATGTTCACACGCATTTTCGGTTCTAGCGTACTATTGGCTGAAACGGTCACACACACCAATCGGATCGCGTGACCCCTCTTGCCCCTGTGCCGTCCCGCGAGATTTCTTTCTATCCCCGCACTGTATGCTAGTTGGTATTTCAATCCTACGTGGCAATATTCATCACTAATGATTGTTTGCATCTCTACTTCTTCGTGTCACGATGTAAATATGAGGTATGCATTTTATGTATACTTATTAAGTACTTAAGAAGGAAAACAAACTTCTTAAATAAATTACTTAATGACGGTGTGATAAAATTTGTACACACATGTGTTTTTGATTACATTTCCGTAGATCTTGCTGTATTTCCACAAAGTTACTCGTTAATCTATTTTGCGAACTGATTTACTCATACGGAACGATTTTTATTTAATAAAGGCATCGATTTTCACATAAGTGTGTATTAATCTGAATGTAATTAAACAATGCATGGAATTGCATTTTTTTGTAACATCTTATTTGAAAAAATTGAAACTTCTTTTAAATGTCATTGTTCTCCAATTTGATGGATAACATTTTTTCAGATTTAAATCTATTTATGAATGTGAGTTGCCATGAACAGATTTTAACTGAAGTGGGTAATGCAACCAAAAAGGAAAAAATCAGGAATAATGAGAGCTGTAATTCTTGTTGGAGGATATGGAACCAGATTAAGACCACTTACATTAAGTCGACCAAAACCATTGGTTGAATTTGCTAATAAACCAATGCTTCTTCATCAAATAGAAGCTCTAGTATGTTATAATATCTCTGTGACAGATTTTCTCTTTATAATTTTATAATTAATTGAATAAATTTCACTTCAGGTAGCAACAAATGTAACAGAAGTAATATTAGCAGTATCTTACCGTGCAGAGGAAATGGAAAGAGATTTGGGTGCAGAAGCTAGGAAGTTAGGAGTACGTTTAATTTTTTCACATGAAACAGAACCTCTTGGTACTGCAGGACCGCTTGCACTTGTACGTGATCTATTGGATTCAGGAGATGAGCCATTCTTTGTCTTGAATTCTGATATTATTTGTGATTTTCCCTTCAAACAACTTTTGGAGTTTCATAAAAGCCATGGTAGGGAGGGCACTATAATTGTAACTAAAGTGGAAGAACCATCGAAATATGGTGTAGTTGTTTATGGAGAAGATGGAAAAATACAAAGTTTTGTAGAGAGGTATTGTCTCTTTAATACTGAATTCAGAAGCTTATTAATTTTTAAATATTTAGTCACATTGTTCACTAAAATTTTTCAGGCATGTACATTTTTAACCCAAGTATCTTAAAAAGAATAGAATTGAAGCCTACAAGTATAGAAAAAGAAGTGTTCCCATACATGGCTCAGGATGAAGAATTATACGCAATGGAACTGACAGGATTTTGGATGGATGTAGGACAACCAAAAGATTTCCTAAAAGGTATGCGTTTATAATATGGAATCAAACATGTTTTTAAATGGCTCTTTTATGTTCTGCTTGTACAGGAATGAGTATGTACCTGACATTTCTAAGGCAGAAGTTTCCGGAAAAGTTATACGCCGGTCCAGGAGTGGTGGGAAATGTTTTAGTAGATGAAACGGCCAAGATCGGAAAAGATTGTAGGATAGGGCCTAATGTTACAATAGGTCCTGGTGTTGTGTTATTTGACGGATGTTGCATTAAACGGAGCACTGTTCTTAAAGAAGCTGTAATAAAAGAGCATGCATGGCTAGATGGGTAAATTTTAAAACAATCTTTCTTCTTAACTAATTGATAAAAAGCCATCATTACACGATACAATGTGATATGTTATAACAGGTGCATCGTAGGATGGAGAAGTGTTGTGGGACGTTGGGTACGAATGGAAGGTATAACAGTACTTGGTGAAGATGTCATTGTTAAAGATGAATTATATATAAACGGAGGCCAAGTTTTACCTCACAAGAATATTTCCAGTTCTGTGCCGGAACCGCAAATAATCATGTGACCAAAGACAATACTATTAAAATACACACGATGCGTAATATGAGTGACTAAATTGCGAAATATTCTATAAATAAAAAGTTTTTATCAGCTTTTTAACTGTATGTAAATTAATATTCAATATACAGTTGTTTGTATCATTTTTACATTTACAATTCAAATGAGCTTTATTGGTAGTCCTCGTACTACTATTGCAGCCGCGGTCATATACTGAGAACAGACATCTTTGGATTTTGCTACTGCTCTTAACATCTCAGGTTCTATAGGCACATTTTCAGTGCCTTTCTGTGGATTTTTGAGAAATTCTAATAGTCGAAATTTGAAAGAAAAAAGAAAACATCATGAAGCAATAAAATCACTAAAGAAAAAATGAAGAAAATGAAAATGTTTCGTAATTTTTCATACTAACTTAAAGTACCCGCACACCACATATTAATATCGACATCTGCCCACGATCTATTTATTGGCGATGGAATCCAATTACTAATGAAATTTGTCGTCATTCTATCAATATCAGCATCTGTAACTTCCCATAACATACCGAGTACGCAAGGACTACGAAAAGTAAAGAATTTAGTTCCTACTTATTTTATAATTTAATCGAGAATATTTGTAAAATTTTAGTTTTACCTGCTAGCTATTAAATACTGGTTTGAGACTCCATATGGTGGATAACGTCCTCCTACTGTAAGCAATTTTACGCTACTACAACCAAACAGTAAAACAATTGATTTCACTCTAAGTCTTTCAATTTGTTCTCCTGGTAAATATTGTATTCCATTGCCATGACCATTATACCTATAAAAACAATATACTATAAACATTATACGGATAACGAAACAATATGTAAAATAGTCGTACATTAATATATCACGATTAACTAATGCATCTTCGAAAGCTTCTTCTTGTGGTTCAACATTGTACCAACTTCTCCAATGTGGCAACCAATATTCAATAAACAATCTCATACGTTTTTCCATTTTAGCTAAGTTACCCGAAGGATTAACTATACATGTGCCCATATCTTTTCTTGTTCTAATTATTTTACAGCCTTTCTCCATTGTATTTTCATGTTCTTTAAATAAAGCATATGCAATATGCAGTGATGGAAAACGAGTAATTGGATGGCACTTTAAAATTTCCATAGATTCAAAAGGTATATAGTCCATATGCTATAAAGTATAGTGAAACATACATTAAATTGTAAATCTTACACTATATTTTAAAACAAATGAAATTTCAAGCTTACTTCATCAATGATCAAAACTAATGTTTTTCTAGTTGCTTCTTTTAATTCTTCTATACAAGGCAGTTTTCCAAGTATGGACAATATTATATTGTCTGCAAGTTTGTCATTATCAGAAAGTACATACTTTACAGCACGTGCTATTTCTTCTCTTGTAAGAAAACATGCTGCTAGTGCTACTTTTTTTAACAACCATTTAGATCTCTTTGATATGTTTCGTCTGTAATATGTATGACTTAATAGAACACATGGATTAGAAAAAGTAAAATAGTTGCTCAACTAAATATTACTTACGATTTTTTGTCATCAGATATTAGTTTCTCAATCATTTGTACAATATTTGCTGTTAAATCATATTTGTTTATTGGATCTGCCATAAATAAGACTCTCCACTCTCGCAGCCATGTATATTCTAATGCTTGAATAGCAGTCTTAAAAAAAAAATGTATATCTATATACACACACACACACACGCGCGTGCACATATACATGCATACATACATAAAAATATTAAATTTATTAATATTATACTTATTGTTTAAATACCTTCATACTTATATTTTGCCTTTCTCTCATTTTCCAATATAATTCATTATTTGTGTAAGTAGCTTCAAGTTCTGACCTATTATTAGAAAGTAACTTTTGAATTTCATAACAAATATCATATGAAGATTGTAACTTAGGTTTTGGTAATGTTATACACAAAGGTTCCATTTCTTCAGCTCCTGTTGGTAGTATGGTAATATGTATCTCATGCATTGCATCTGATGTAGTTTTGCTATATTCAGAAATATTTGGAGACTTGTACTGACTGGTAATTTGAATCATGTACCATTCTATACACAAGAAATTATGTAGAAGTTATTAATATGTTCATTGGTATTTAAATATTTTATTTATCTTATTTCACCTTTGGGCAAATCAAAAAGTTTTGTTTTTAAATTATCAATGCTATTTGTGTCATTTATATTGAATCCAACATAAGAGGATTTAAGTCCATAAGTTTGTTGTGTATTTAAAATTGATTCACGCATTTCTGTTTTCACAGATCTATGCAATATTTGTTGACGAAGTATCACAGCATGTGACTCAATTAAGTGACATATAGCTTTAAGTTCATCACCAATCTATAAGTAAAATTTATGAATCAGTTAAAAAATTACTAATATCATATTGTTTGGGTAACTGTTAATGTATTATGAAAACTTGATAGATCAACAATACCTTTAAATAAGAAAATGCCAGCATTTTATGAAGATTTGCATATTCGACGCTTCCTATATTACATCGTATATCTGACAGTAATGTCTCAATGTCACTTTTCACATTTTCTATAGAATTAGTTTCAACCTTATCTAACGTTTCTTCACGTTTACCATTGTTCGAATGACACTCGTGAAAAATTTGAAATATTTCTTCTATATTAATAGACATATTTCACTTTCTACACGATTATCTTTTCACACTTCTACATTTCACAGTATCAATTATTTGATAACTGTTGTTTTAAGTGATTTAAATTCAAATGTAGCTAACACAATAATCAGGTTAGAAAGAAAAAACTTTACGATACAGGAAAAATTAATTATACATTTTAATATTAAATATTTGTATATCTCATCTTGTACTAGTAAAAACACTAAGTTTAATGTATTTTTTCTTTATAGAAATAAAGAAATTCACGTTCTGTAAATTCAGGATGAAGGCAACAAAGCACCAGCAAGAAATTTAAATGTCAGATGGCGTTTGAAACTGATTTGATTACGAATCTGACAAGACATGATTATTATGTTAATGTATTTTTACGTTTTTTATTTATTATTATTGCATCAGTTGTACAAAATTAATGTAAACATATAATGTCAAAATACATGAATTTTGTTATAGTCTCGTCGTGTACATAAATTTTCGAAGTTTATAACACAGCCACATATTTTTTAAACTAACCTAAAAATATGTAGAATTCTTAAAAATTTATGTAAATACAACTGCAATAAATAGGAATAACATTCGTATATTTCTAAATCCCTGATATAAAATTTATACAAGAATATTAACAATTTTTAAATCTAAGCTTTATCATTGAATCACAGAAAATTTAAAAATACATCTTTATGATGATCTGTATAGTGCACTATTCTAACACGTAAGGACCTTCGAACGATTGCCCTTTTACGTGACTCAAATTTTCTCCCGCATATGATAGTAAGGGAGATACTTCTACATCGTTTGTCACAGACGTCGCTCCAGCGTTTAACAACCATTTCTTATGGAGTTTAAGTACATCATTTCGCGCTGTGCTTGGGCAGTCTTCACCAGCGAAGTCAGCATTCTTAACGGGACTGAAATCTTCCTCGCGAATTCCTTCCCAAACTGTTAGCTGGTTGGCAAATTTAAACACATCGAATACGAATTTTTCAATTTTAATACCGTTTGGAGACGTGGGTACATTTCTATTCCCATCCTCGTCAATATATGGAATCTTCTTTTTAGCAACATGAAGCTCCATTTTTTTCTCGTGAACGTTAGCAACGGCACGTAGAAAATCTACAGTGAAGTAGTGATTACATATATTTGCAGCATTGTAAATTAATTTTCCATCATCAGAACGCAATTCAGTTGCCTCCTTTGAAATTTCACTGTACTCAACAACCTGATAAATACCATCAACCTATAATAACATTAATGGTATAAATATTAATAAAATAAAATGTTACAAATGACTATTGTGTTTTATAAACATACTTTACACACAACTCCTACTGCTTCATTTGGCGAAGATTTTTCTACAACTTTAACTCCACAATCAGTAGAGGAAGATAAGCAATATCCTAGAAAAATGGGATCTGCTACTCTTATCAAAATATTATCAACTGAATGAACATGGACACTACGAGTTCCACGTTGTATCATGTCATCCAATATTTTTTGTGTCATCAAAGCTCGGTATAATCCTCCATTTCCATCAGGTGCTTTAGAAAGCCTGTATTTCTCATCCAAAATGATTTTTCCATCTAAAGTAAAACATGGAAGCATGCCTTGCTTGAAAGCTTTAACATTCTTTTCCTTTAGATTAAAATAGTTATATTTTTGCAAGAAATCAACAGTTGTATCGTGCGTGGCTTCACTGGTTAAAATATACCTAACAAAATAAGGTTTACTTAAAATATGGACTTTTATATACTTTATAAACTATTAAATTTATACAAAGAATACATATGTACCAAGTAATCTCTCCTGCTTTACCACATTCTTCCTTTGCTATATCTTGTAAACGAAGTATTCTCTCTGCTTGCAATTGAAACAGACTTTTGCCAGAGGGCAATCCAACATTGTACATACCCTTAGGATAAGAGACACCCAATCTGGTTCCTTGACCACCAGCCATTAATAACACAGCTACTCTGCCATTTGCTATTTCTTCCAAGCCTAATTTTTTATATATCTTCAATTGATCCTTATCCGCTGTCTTGACAGATGCAATATTATCTTTAGGAATAGGAGACACTCTATCATCTAATATATTTTGATGCATATTGGAAAAAGTATACATTGTTCTCTCAAAATATGATGTCACTTCTATAACATGTAATTCAGATATATCTTGACAAAGCTGTTCTCTTTCCTTGTCAGACAACTGATCCCAGAATTTTAACAGATGATCCTGACCGCACTCGACCAGTCTTTTTTTGAGAGATTCCATATTTGCACCCTTTCACGTTTGGTAGACGCGTATGTACTAGCAACGAGGATACTTTGTTATCGTAAGGCTGTTATCATTAATACCGGACAGACTGAATGATAAGTGACTGTATTATGTTTTTACTCAGACACAAATGGGAACAAATTAAAAGCGAGTCAAGCAACAGGTGGTTAAGTTGGTCTCATAGGTTTGTAACCTAATACAATTCATAGGTAGCGGGATACGCCTTCACTTTCACGATTCCACGTAGCACGTTCAGCTCGATTTCTCTTATCGACCCCTCTCTCCCTTCCAGCCACTCGGGCAATTCTCCTTTTCTTTTCCAGCATATTTTGTTTTTACGAACGTACACCGGCCGTGAAAGATCATGTTTTTTTACCTCTCGGCTCGATCGACGCAAAGACCGTAACTTTTTCGCACGGCACGCCTATTGCTAGCTTCTGTACCAGTATTATCGATAAGACAGGAGTTCGAGAGAAACTAAAAATACCCACCTTACCAAAGACCACTATGAAAATGATTTTGTAATATTAATACGAGATGAGAATGAAAAGTGAAAGGAGGAATTGAGACGAGCATGCAATCTTGCAATCTGGCCATATAAAACTAAAATATTTAGGGGCATGGCACTTACGATGGTAACATGGAGATTCATTTTAGAAAAACGATGTCATTGTATCTATTTTTATATATTCCTAATTAAGAATATTTGAATTTAAAGTATTGTGTAAAAAAAAAGGACTTTTACAATTTATTGATATTAGATTTGTAAACTTTAATTATTGATTTGTTTGTTTGGGTGTAACCTTCCGTGGAATTAAAAGGATTCACAGTTAGTCATAATGTACGACCTCGAAGATAATAAATCAAAAAAAGAAAATATATAATAGAAATTTTTCAAAATAATATAAATTTTTTTGTTGATCAGTTGATCACTGATTACCGGCATGCGCATGTGTACATAAGAAATAAAATTGTTTAAAAGTGCACTATTTATCTTACAAAATATTAAAATATGTTAGTAGCAAGTTTTTCCTTTACATACCCATAATTTTATCTTAATAACCTCACAGGTATGAAAAAACTGTACATTTAAAAAATAATCTCGATTCGTATTGTACTATTCCTCTATTAGAAATTATCAACAATATTTAAGAATCATCTTGCATTTAATTTAATGAAATTTACATTGAATTGAGTTATTTATGGATTTGTATTACAATAATCTCCTCGTGTCGTATTCAGTTATAATTGTATTGTACGCGAATACATATTAATAGAAAGTCGAAATTATCCTCATTATAGTACGAATTTAGAGTTAGGTAGCCATGTTTCAAGTGATATAAAATTTTCAAATATATTGCCAATCAGGTATTAGTAATAGATCGCAACATACGGTGGCGCTTCAAATTCTCTGTCAGACCTCAATGCATACAGAAGTAATCTCAATATTTCGTTTAAGTTACATGCGTGTTTGCTTGTGACTTACAAAGAGACATCATGCCGTACCTGCCTAAATAACGTTTTCGGTAATGCCGTAGCAATATTAAAACTGTAAGAATAAGTTATGTGTAGTGATGTGATATGTCTGCGCGTTCATGATAAAGTACTGGCCCTTTGTAAATGTATTTCGGTGAGTTACATTTATACTTGGCCTCAAGTTACACTCTTTTGATATTGCTGATTCGAAGGATTTCTTGAAAAAATTCGTCATCAATTGTCATGCAGACTGCAAGCCCAATTAGTGCATTTGTCGTGACAACTGTCGGATGCTATCATACGAATATTAACTTTCTTATAAATCAACAAATTTCAGCGATAGGTTTAGTCTGGCTTTTGAACATATCACAATTTTATTCGTATGCTATTATTTTTCTAGCATCTATCTTTTTCACTTTTATTTATGATTTTGATAGGTTAGGAGGAACGTCCTTGAGTCTCTTTATTTCAGTAATATATCAGTCATATTATTCATTCAACTGTTACTTTTTCTTTATTAATTAATTTTAGACAAAGATTAGAGGCCCATAGAATGTTTTCTTCACTGTGTTTTATATTTTTTAGAAGAATTTTGTAAAAAGAATGATGTTATAATACCTTCTGAGGAATATAAAACAATGTTCTTGATTGTTCCTAAAATATGACAGAAAAAATTTTATTGCTCCAATAAGAAAACTTTTAGTAAGCATTGTTGTAGTACGTGAAACTTTTAGACACAGGAAAATTGTTTTTTTCAAAAGGTAACATTTATTAATTTCAGGTGCCAGGTGCATAAAAAGCAGCTGGCAAAATGGGCAAGTTGTTGTCAAAGATCTTTGGCAACAAGGAGATGCGAATTCTCATGTTAGGATTGGATGCTGCTGGGAAAACTAGTATCCTTCACATATATTATCTTTGTATAAAATTTTGTAAAAGAAATTTTTAGAATTATGTTGTTTGTGTCAGTAATATTTCCTTAATTACATATCAGCAATACTATATAAACTTAAATTAGGACAGTCTGTAACAACTATACCAACTGTAGGATTCAATGTAGAAACAGTTACCTATAAAAATGTTAAGTTCAATGTTTGGGTAAGCAATGAAAATTTATGTTTTTTTCAATATAACATTAAAAATGTTCATAACATTTAGTAAATGAAATGTCTTTATTGTAGGATGTTGGTGGACAAGATAAAATACGTCCACTTTGGCGTCATTATTATACTGGAACACAAGGACTTATTTTTGTAGTAGATTGTGCTGACAGAGATCGAATAGATGAAGCACGCCAGGAGCTCCATCGAATTATAAATGATAGAGAAATGCGTGATGCTATTATTTTAATTTTTGCAAATAAACAAGATCTTCCAGATGGTAACAAAAATCATATATTTTTTTTTTATTATTTACAATCTATGCATTACATCATATACATACAAATTCTTATATTTTCCAGCAATGAAACCACATGAAATACAAGAAAAATTGGGTTTAACTAGGATACGAGACAGGAATTGGTATGTTCAACCATCATGTGCCACAACTGGGGATGGGCTTTACGAAGGCCTTACATGGTTGACCAGTAATCATAAATTATGAACAAATATTTATTTTTCATCGATTAGCCACATACCAAGAATGTACGTTTGCTTTGTATTTTCATTTTTATTTATCATGTAGAGGCTCTATAACAACTGATAATGATCATTAAGATCCATGAGAGAGAGAGAGAGAGAGAGAGATATCACTTCGGACGTACGACAGCAAACGCAAAGCAACCATTAATATCAGATGGTGCGTTTCAGTAATATTAATACTACATAAATAGAAATTTATCAAAGTACCAAAAGATATAGACTTTGTTACTAACTGTTTACTAAAGTGCGTGAAAATAGTTAATACAACATTATTGATTAGACTATCACGTTCAGCATTTTACTGTAATTTATATATAAATATATAAATATTCGCGTGCGTATCGCATTAATGGGATACTAACTTGTAAGAAAATACAAAAGTTGTAAGAGCTACTTATGATATTACACGGGATGCATTCACAAAAATATTTAACTTTGTAATTTGAAATGATCATTTATACAATGATTAATGTAAAGTATTTCGTCCATGAATAATGGACGTAAAATTCATTCTTCTGGTTGTTGTCGATGCTACATGATAATATGTATCACACATAATATTCATATATATAACGCTACTGATATGTGTGAGTAAACATTCAAAGCACTTACATTAATGACTTTATAGAGCACGAAAATATTCATTGATAAATTTTCGCTATCAACCTTATTCTTTAAAAATGTTTTCGCGATTTCATTTGATTTTTCTTTTTTGACAAATGTCTTCCAGGTTGAGTAACATTTTTTATGCATCAGTCGATTGGTCTTTTTAGTCCAAAAACAAACTTCTGATAGTGTTGTTGCATATATTGTTTTGTGCTTCATTTCAATTGAAATGCATTAAATGTATGAACGTACACTTATATATACCTATAAATGGGGTTGTTCTGTACGCACAAATGGCAAGCCACACAAGGTTTGATAATACGAGCTCAAACAAACAAAAAAGAAAGAAAATATGAACAATGTTACTCGATAATGGTAACAGCATTGAATCTGCCAACATTTTCTACAAGTTAAGTGATCGGATTACGCAAAACTAGAATTAGGTCACAGGGAAAAGTCAGACAATGCTTTGTGTGCGTCCCATTTCGTTTATTTTTTATAATAAAGTATAGAATAAGAATGATAAACATATTTATCGATAGTCGCTACTAATTCAACCGAAAAATTTCATCGTTATTCGATTCTTTCTTTTATCTTCTTCTACGAACTTCATGTCTGCATAGCGATTAAAATGGAGTAACAGTGATATGTTGCTTGTTTGCTCTGCGTTTCTATAACATTTTATTTGCATTCCATGATTATATTAAGGTACTAGGATTTTAACAAATTGTATTATTTTACATGAACCAGAGAGTAATGATTATACAGATATAAGTTCGTCAGATTCTTTTTCTCGGCATCCGTACCATTAATGTTAAGTGTTATATTTGATGATAACTAATGTGCAAAGTAAAATTAGCTCATATTTAGGAGCCGTGCACAGGCTTTGGAAAAAGAAAATAATAGTCTGTTTCTGGGATGTGTGTGCTAGTATTGAGCAGTGCTCTATGGCTATATACATATATGTATTTATGCTCATTATTAATTTCATTCATATAAAAAGGAAAAGGTTATGATGTGTCATATATTTGTTTCCCTTTGTTAGTGTAATTGTAAAAAGAAAGGTAACAGCTGTAACGTAACTTTGTTAGATAATAATTATTGTTAACAAAAAAAAACGCGTTTTAGAATTATGAAGGAATTTATAGATTTTGGCAATAAACTTCATTCGAATCAATTGTATTAATTATAATTACGAATTAAAATTAAAAATTCTTTTTAACCATAGAATACAGATTTTATTAGTAAATATCCAAAGCCTGAAATAAAATGAATCCTACGAAAGAAATGATACATAATTTGAAGCAGATATTATTAGTATAATTTTCTTAAATAACGAAGTGAACTTCATTGAATAGCAATATACATATATTTATTCATTCTCTGCTCAGTCTGAAATAGCAAAACTATTTACAGTCAAAATACCGATCTTACTTTTAAAAAAGGAAGAGAGAGAAAAAAACGAGACGTATGCGTGATTTCATTATTGTTAGAGAATATATGTTTTAACGCAGTACTAATAATTATAATATTGTCAAACAGACATTTATTGTCAAAGTAAGCATTTGATATCATCATATTCACTGTTCAGTTCATACAAATGCGTATCTTCTATATTTTCCAACGATTTGTTTTTGACAGGGGCCATTCAGAATGCAGGGCTCGATATAAAACGCTTTGGAGTAAGGAAGAAATTGGTTACTTCAGTAATAAGGTTCAATCAGCGTTTCTTAATATTTATACTCTATGGATCGTGATATTTCGTTTTATGGAAACTAGCAAAAACAAAGAAACATCAAGAACTGTATTTAATGTTGCAATTTAAAAAAAAAAACGAACACGTACATACTCTTAGAAAGTACTAGACTGTTTGTTTGCGGATAACAAATTTTATTTAATAGTATACGGTCCATAAAGTTAAAAAGAAATTGGGAAACGCTGACTTATACTATTAGCCAAAGAATTCTCAATGCACCGATATCAATCGATTTCACGATTAAACATTGTCAGTGAAGGTATCTTTCAGTAATCTTTTCATATTTAAAATAACGTGGCACGAAATGATGCATCGTATATAATCGATCATTTTATATAAATTTTTGAACTTTCAGGAGTTAACAGCTTAAAAAATAATGAAAATAATACGTACTCCGAAACAAGTTGAACGTTACAATACTTTTATGAATAGTAACTAAAGGTGCAATAGAATTTTTTGGTTTTTAGTACAAGTAAATTATATAAATAAACAATATGTGTAATACTACAATGAATATTATATAGATAAATAACAGTAATTTTTACAAAATTGGAAACCGATGAACCCGGAATAAATATGTACTTGTATATTATTATTTGTATAATAAAGACACCTTTAAATTATAAAAGCATTTTGTGAAATATAAAATACATATTCGAACAAAAAAAATATATATATATAATTGCATCATGAAAATATTAAACCATAATCGCTTAATGAAAGTGGTACTTTTTACATAAAGCTATTTAAAGAATATTTTCAATCATTATATCTTATATCATGAAAAGAGATATCAAAATGAAATAAAATTATTTACGTTTTACTTGTTTTATAATGTGCAGACTGAAAGCATAAGATATCATGAAATTTTTTTATAGAGATTCTCCTCATTAGACCTGTTTCTTAATTGAGGGGGTTAAAGTCATAGTGGTGTAAATCACAATTTCTTTATTCTGAGAAACAGAGAATGTTATTAGAAATGATAAAATAAATTCTACAGCACCAAATTTGGTACTGTATTGTATTCAATATTACCAGAAAGCTTATCCCAATTATGATTTACTTCACTTGTCTTTTTAACAGTTTGGCATTGTGTAGGTTGCATTTCAGTACTTAGGTCCAAATTTTCGGAAATGCGACTTACTCTACTATGACTTTAACCCCCTCAATTAATGTCGCTAGGTTCTTCATTCTGGAATGAAGTCTGTGGATATATTTTCTTTTATTATTTCTGGAATATTTCTCATACAGGGTGTGTGATTTATCTAAGAACATGTAAATATTTCAAAAAATATGGATGACACGGAAAAATATTTAAGACAAAAATTGTAAGGTACCAAGGGGCACATACGATGCCTATATTTATTTGACCTTGCGATGACCTCGAAAAGCTTTATGAAGGTTACGTTTAAATTTTTAAATGTAAACTTATATTTTTTGTTATATATTCTTGTAGCTAACGTTAAAACATTTTCAAAGTACTACTTACACGTGCATTTTGCACTAGCTAATATTTAGATATTAAATTTCAAATCTGATGTGCCGCCGGTACTAGCGTTACCAGATATACATCGCGAGAACGTCGCTCGGTCGGTTTTTGTACATCATGGTGGCTCTAAAAAGAACCGTGTGTATGTGTGTGAAAACACTGCTACTAAATTCTCACTTTTCCTTGAATGATTTTTGTCATAAAGTAATATGTACTTTCCCATCCTTAAAAATTCCTGCTCTACATTTTTCAGCACTTCTAGTGTAATTGTTTGACATGTGTTTGTGAACCTTCTTTGCAATTCACCTATTGTGTCCCTGGGCGTAAAGAAAACGTTTTATTTCAAATATCACCAGAGAAAAAATTGCACGTGGAAAAATCTGGCGATCTTGGGGGTCACGTTACCGGACCGTTACGACCAATTCAATATTATGGAAGCATTAGGACAAACTGTCTCTTGTCATTGCACGGTCAATTTGTGTTTACGTAGCCACTAAAATTCCGGCACATCAGATTTGAAATTTGGTATCTCGACATTGGCTAGTGCAAAATGCACGTGTACGTAGTGCTTTCAAAACGTTTTAACATCAGCTACAGGAATATGTAACAAAAAGTGTAGGTTTCCATTTAAAAATTTAAATAACTTTCATAAAGCTTTTCAAGGTCACCGCAAGATCAACTAAATATAGGCATCATATGTGCCCCTTGGTACCCTACAATTTTTGTCTCAAATATTTTTCCGTGTCATCCATATTTTTTGAGATATTTACACGTTCTCAGATAAATCACACACTGTCTAAGTTGCTTTTTCGTATTCGCATTTAGAACAAGAAATTAGCAGCAACAGAGAAAGAACAAATTGCAGCAAAACAAAGACACAAAATATTCATGATCAAATACTTATAGAAGATCCTTAGCTATTTACTAATACTTTATAGCTGTATTTGCAATAATTTATATTATAAATAATTATGCAGTATCATATTACGGTAAACATAACTGAAAAAGTTAAGATTCTTTCTCCTACAGGATGTTGTGCCGACATAAAAATATGAGATATCATAAAACCTTGGATTGTGTATCTTTCACAAATTCAGTTACATGTGGACGCATTGTTGTTAAGCTAACCTAACCTAACCTAACCTAACCATATGTGGTAATGCATGACCCTCACACTGAACATGAAACTAATAAAACTGCGAGGAGTCTAAGTTCAACAACCAAGTTCAACGTATTTAATAAAGGACATTTATTGAAATCAGTCATTGAATTTTGTTCCTTTAACGAATTTTACAAGTCTAAATTTCACATTTCGATCTACTAAATCACACGCAGAACACAACAATGATGACTAAATAAAAAAAATTCATGTTGAGCATACAATTATCATAAATTCAATTAATATTAAATTTTTTTAGATTTAAGATGCAGAAATTTTTCCCTCAGTACCTTGCTAATGCAACGATAGATCTGAATGATAAATATTACTTATTTTCTATTAATACAGTACGAAAAGTTTACGATTATTTTATATTAAGTTGAGTAAAAAATCCGTTCACGTCGAAGGCGGCTCACTCTTCTCGGTAATGTTACCTGATATTATTGCATATTTTGACTGCAACTAATAAACGTAACTTATTAGGGACAATCTAAAAATGCTTTAGGCAGTTCTCTTTTAGTATTATTTGAGTCTTAAGCGTTTAAAGATGAGCGAACAGAGTATTCATTTTCGGCACCTAATCCTTTTTTATTTTTGAAAGAAGAAAAGTGTTGGATATAAGAAAAAAAAAATGTGTGATGTGTGCGGTGAGGATGCTATTAACAAACGTACCATCCAAAAGTGGATTAAAAGATTCAATAGTGGAGATTTTAATGTGAAAGTCAAAAAACGAAGTGGCAGGCCAAAAAAGATCGATGATGATGAAATTGCAAATTGTATTAAACAAAACCCAAGGTACACAACTAGAGAGATTGCAAACATATTAAGAATTTCGCAAAAATTAGTTTTCTTGCATTTGAAAAAGCTCGGAATGACGAGTAAGTACGTGTTTGAGTCCCGTATGAGCTAACGGAAAAGAATTTATTTGACCTCATTTTGATTTCCGATCCATTGTTAAAGCGGTACAAAGATCGCTCTTTTTTAAAACAACTTATCAGTGGTGATGAAACGTGAAGTAAATATTGGTCTAAGCTAGGACAAAAACCATTAACAACGTCCAAGGCAAAATGCATATATCTGAATTTTTTAATAAAAAACAACAATTTTATGAAAAGGGAACATTTAAATTACCAAACAGATGGGAAAAAGTCATACAACAAAATAGTACATATCTCATTGATTAAGTAAGTCTGATATTAAAATAACAAAACTTTAAATTCTTGTGAAGAAACGCGAACGGACGTTTTCGGACTCAACCTAATAGTAACAATATCATACGAATTCGATTAAAATTATAAATTTTCGGTATGAGATTCTTTCACTTGGTATTACTTACATTTAATGACGTATATTAGTGCAACGTTAGGATTAATAATTTTCGTACATTATCACATACTCCTTCGATTTTATAAATTAATCTCCGTGTTTGTCCAATGTTTGTAGAAGACCATTATCGGTAGACCTAATACGCGTACTGAGTAAACAAAAATGTCATGAAAATTAGAGAGTTTTTAAGTTGGTTTGCTTACTTTGGTGATACATAATAAAAGTTTTCGAATATGTACAGAGAGAAAATACATTTTTTCACGCTTTTTTCTGTCTTTTTTTTTTTTTTTGTTATTCCTACAAATTCGTCCATTATGCAATTCCTATTTCGACATAATCTTGAGATGTATTGTAATGTATAGCCCTATGCTATCTACTGGGTCGTTGCTCTTCTATAAGTGCTATCAAACGTTGTCGAGTTTTTTTATTATTCTGACAAGCTGAGGAAATTAAGCCAATTAGATGCTTGATAGAGTACTCCTACAAAATAAATGAGAATAAAGAATAAGTCAGAATATTTTGACACACACACACACACACACGCACGCGCGCGCACAATGTAACCTAACCTAACCTTATGTTCTTTTATCCATTCTTCTAAACTGTTCTCAGGAAGATAGTAAGCTTTAATGTATAATTCAACGTATTCTCTATGCGGCATCGGCCGCAAAGAAGTCATTGTCTCAAACTTTGACTTCAACTGCGTGAAATCGAGTTGCATCAATGCTCTGCCACCGTTTGAACACTTTTTAGCACTAGAAAATCTGCGATAAAAATAGATATATTTAAACATGATGTGTGAAATTGGAAGTTTTAAAATTACCTACCCTTCTACCAAAGTATGAGTTATTAAATGTGCAACATTTTCCCAGACAGCAATATATACATCGTCCGCCAAAGGAAGACAACTTCCAATATTTTTCAACTTTTCGTTTAAAACGTATATTTCCTATAAAACCAATTTTTATTCAGTGTAAAAACGTAGATAAACGTTTACTTAAGAAAAGAATAAATACCTGCAGTAGAGCATCAATGTATCCGCTATGTTGGGACATGACATCTGTCACCTCCCAGTTGACTTTGTTCATTAAATTTAATATATTTGCAACATCGAATGCTTGGGATGTCACCGCCATGTATACCGGCTTTCTTAAATCTGTTGTTGATGCTATAGTTTGCATGTAAAATTGATGGAGAAAACCACGTTGTGGACTAGCACCAATAAGATGTTCTAGATACGGTTTCAAACTTTCATATTGTCTACCTAAAAATATCAAGGATTCCACTGCTACAATACGTTCAGTCAAGCCATGAAGATTTTCCGGTTGCGATAAATTTACAATGGTAGAGAGCTGCGGCTGTCGTACTTTATCAGAATTTAATTTGAGATTATCTTCGGTATCATTCTCGCAAATAATTAAATTCTCCTTAATTCTTGCCAGTGATAACTTTAATTTTGGACTATACAAGGAATCGCTATTTATTTGCTGAAAACAATTATCATTTATGGATGTCAGGCTATTTTTGTGATAAATTAATTTATAATAAAAGAAAAGAACATACCAGATCTGAAGTAAAGAATAAATGTACAGTATAAAAGCACAGCTCATAAAACTGTATCATACTTTGTATGACAGTGACCGCGATTGATCGCAATAATCTAGACATTTGCAAATACTTTCCACAAACACGCAATATACTCAGTGTAGTATTTGTAACCATCGGTCCCGACAATTTTAGTTTACCCTTTTTTTTGTTCGTTTTTACGTGATCTGAATCATCGACATATTCGCGTTTTAATTCATCAGGAATATCATCATCAGATTCATCGGAAAAATATGCCAAATGGTTATCCTGTACGATGCAAAGTATTTTCAATATTACCATTGTCAATGTAATATAAGAAATTATTTCTAAATGAAATAATATCGTACCTCGTTATTTATTAAAATATCTTCATCCATTGTGTCATCTAGACCTATAGAAAACGGTGATGCACCTCCTTCTAAATATTTCTGGATCCATTCTATTCCCATAGGATTATCATTTTCACCAACATTAGAGTTATCTAAATTGTTCCATACTTTACAACTATTCAGTGATGGTTTTAAACTTTTGAATTCTTGCAATTGAGTCGCAACGAAATTGGATTTAACAGGGCATAATTCCCATCCATCATTTTCTAAAAATATTCTAAGCTCGTCTAGTCTTGATGCATGATAATGAGAAAAGTATGATAAAGATTGTTGTCTTATAGACTCCTGTAGATTTTCTGATTTGAAATTGCACAACTCCTCTCCAATTTCCATTAATCTACAAGTATTTTTTGTTAACACAATGTTGGTGAATTAAGTTAAAGGGTTTAGCCGAATAAGTATGGTATAAGTGCCCCTAAACCAAATGAAACGTGTGGTACGTCAATTGAAAGAGCTTCCTAGGAAAGCCATTTCGACGAAGTTTTAGCTTTCTACACCTATTATTAGGGTAGTTATCGACCTAAACATCATTTTCATATCATACTTGATTTCTTTTATTCTATCCGATAAAAAATGATGAAAAAAAATCTGTGATACGATAGCTAGAGTATTACATATCTGAAAATTCTTTCAGATTTTTTGAATAAAAAATCTATTTTAAAAAAATTAAATACCATTTAAAATGCCAATTTTTTATTGAATTTATCAAATGCCAACATTTATATTTTTACAGTAGAAGTTGCCTGTCATGTTTATTAATTCATAATTTTTTCAGAAGCATGCGTCATAGTTAAAAAAATAACAAACCACTATTTTTTACTGTTCCCTGCATGTAGAGTGACCTCTATTAAGCAAGAGATGTTTAAATGAAAAAAAAAAAAGATTACACTCCTTGAAATTTTACCTACAAAATGAGACCTTTTGCACATATTTTTAATTACAACCTGATTTATAGATGTCAGTTTCTTTGCTCCTTGATTATTTATAAATAAGGTGTCATTGCTCAATAAACTCTCCATCTAGGAAAAGGGCTCATTTTGTAAGTAGAATTTCAAGGAGTGTAATCATATTTTTTTTTTTAATTTAAACATCTCTTGCTGTCAATAGAGGTCACTCTTACGTGCACGGAACAGTAAAAAATAGTGGTTTGTGATTTTTTAACTGACGCATGCTTCCGAAGAATCTGAAAAAATTATGAATTAATAAACATGACAGGCAACTTCTACTGTAAAAATATAAATGTTGTTATTTGATAAATTCAATACAAAATTGGCATTTTAAATGTTATTTAATTTTTTTAAAATAGATTTTTTATTCAAAAAATCTGAAAGAATTCTCAGATATGTAACACTCTAGCTATCGTATCTCAGATTTTTTTCATAACTTTTTATCGGATAGAACAAAAGAAATCAAGTATGAAAATAAAATGATGTTCAGGTCGATAACTACCCTAATAATAGGGTGTGGAGAGCTAAAACTTTGTCAAAATGGCTGTCCTATGAAGCTCTTTCAATTGACGTACCACACGTTTCATTTGGTTTAGGGGTACTTTTACCATGCTTATTCGGCTAGAGCCTTTATATAGAATTTCACAAAACTTTTACCTGTTAACTACACCTAAAACTTGAACGAACTGTTCGAATTTAATATAAGTTAAATCCGCGTTCATTAAAAATATCGATATCTTCATTTCAACATCGTGCCATACGCGAATCATACTGTTTTCTAATTTATGTTTCACATACTGTTTGCTGAAGGTTTCTTCTAAATCTTTAATATCGGCTTTAAGTTTAACTTTATTTTCTTGTGTATTATGCCAGTTTACTACCAAGTAGTAAGAACTTAATATTGTCCATAATGATTTACACAATTCTGTTAGACAAGCAATGCAACTTTCACGAGGCACTGATTGACAAAGTTGTTTGTATTGCCTCTTTGTATCTCCACCTGCATATGAATGAACAGCTGCAAAAGCGGTATTGTGAATCGCAGCAGTGAAATGCATATGCAATTGATCCATTGCAGATTGAGTTTTTCCAAGTAGAGTGTAAGCTTCTTGTATTGATGTGTATATTGTCACATCGAATTGCGTACACATTTTTGAAAGTGTAACATCCAGGGCTTCCTCTGCTTGTTCCAATATATCTTGTAACTTTCCATTTAGAGCAGCAATGCAATGAAAATGTTTATATGTTTGCGCTGCACTTTGACATTCTAAAAGTAATGATATTGCTCTAGGATAATTTTTTTCATTTAACAATTCTTGTAATCTGTCTCCTGTACGCTGCTGTAAAGTATTATAACAAATAATTAATTATTACTTCATTAAATGAATAATATGAGAAACTCACCAATGTTTTTATGGTATTTAAGTTGTTTAATAGTTCTTCTACAATTTGCCTTCTTTTATAATTTGCTAATATTCCTAAACTAGCTGTTGTGAATTGTCTTTCCGCTAACTTTAGATCAGCTCTTCCCATTCTGCATATTTCTAACACGTCTTGTAATTGTTCTTGTATTAGTAAAATCTTTTCAAATTCTTCCTTGCAAGCATCCTGTTTTTCCAAAATATGTTGGAGGACTTTACTTGAGACAACCTGATGTTGCTGCTTAAGTTTTTCGTAACACTTTTCAATTTCTGTAGATTGCAGCACTTTTGGCAATTTTTTTAACTCATGTCTGCAAGCATCAAAATTCTGATCTGTCTCAAAATAAATTTTCTCTATAGATTCTAATATATTTTCATCAGGAATGCGTTTACTTTCTGTTGAATGATCAACTTTATGTTGTATGTCATCTGATTTCTGAGCTTCTGACGGATTGAGTAGATCTGGACTTAAACCCATAAGTGGAATCTTGGTTGCATTCTGAATAGCAATGAAAAACATAAATGTCGCACTAACACTTTCTAAAATTATATTAAATTGTATTAAAGTAATTCAATGAACACTCCATAAAAATACATTTGAAACCAGTATAACATAACCTGAAGCATAATAAAAAAAGAGAAGGAAAAAAATTGTTTTTCTCAATCTTATCAGATTAAAATACAATTCCTAGGCATAACATTTGTACTAGAAATTTATTCACCTGTTTGTTAATAAGACCGAAAAATTTACACTTTAGATCCTCCATACTGTAAATATTTCTTCAAAATTTCGTTTGATACATTTTCATGTATTTACTCGATGTCTCGTTGTTTCTCTCCATGTAATTGGCATAACAAATAAAATTCGCATCTCGTCGTGGTTATTTAATTAACTCCATTTCGTAAGTACAAAGAATCTATTTCTTAAATGTTACGTACTTGAATCACATACATATATTTTTTCAGGTTATGTACAATATGAAGTTTTCGCGGGAGTGACACGTTTGTATTAACAGTAACTTTTCAAATACTAATATCTTTAAACAGTATTGATATCCAAATAAGAATATAATTTGTGACAAGAACAATGATAGGTTTTATTCTTTTTATTATAATTTCGAACAAAAACATTAAAAAAATAATATGAATGTTTTAAAAAATTGATTATATGCGCCATTTAAAAATAATACATATATTTATGAGTATTTTTTATTTATTCTGTATATTAGAGTTCTGTATATTAGAAAAATGTCAACAAAATGATTCCTTGGCATAAGCTTGGTTTTTCAATAAGGAAAATTTATTGGCTTTAAACCACATGGAAATTGCGCTATAGTCAACTTTTTCTACTGATTCTGGGAAATTTGTAACCTTGGTTAAAAAACACGGTAAAACAGCCATGCCTGGTAAATTGTAGTTTATATTTCATTTGTGCTTTTAAAATTACCTCTAACTTCAAAAGTAACGTCAACCTCGTTATAAAAGTAATTTTTATTTAATTTTTAACCTCATACCTACGAAGCGTAAGTATTGCATACTTCAGTCTATTTTATTAGAAGCTATTTTATTAGTCAGTATGATTACATATGATTTCGCAAGATATTAAAATCAAATGTCACTAAAATATTTACAATTAATTGACTCAGGTATTATAATATATTAATTAACAATACGTAGTAAAAGAAAAATATGAAGGTAGTTTGCCCTTTAACAAGTTAGATTCAATATTTCAAGTGCTTCATCAATGAACATGAATAATGTATACATAATTCATGAAGCTGCGTTACATAACATACACACACGTGCACGCACATAGAATTTACGTGAATAGAGAAATATGCTTCTGCGTGTTTTTATGTAAATTTGATTTCAATAGAATAGAACTATCGTAAATATCTCAATAAATACTCACTTTAGACATATTACACTTTAATATTTATTTACTTAGCTTTTAATGCTCTTTTAATTTCCGGAAAGAAATATAGGGTATTTTATTTAAAAAAATCATGGTGACCCTCAAAACTTTGCGTATAAAAATAATGTACTTAGAAAAAAAAACAATTATTGTAACATACATGTATGTCCCCCTTGAAATCATGCAACTTTTGCTTCATACACTATTTCGTACAGTGAATAGTTTACGAGCAATTTCAGGTCGTCAAGTTAGATGAATCACTCTGTGTATATGTATATGTATATTCTTCCAGGTTTGAACGATAATTTACTTTTTTTTATCTATTTATAAAGATCTCAAAGATTTCAAAAATTTTAAATTTTCAACAATTTTTAATTCCTATCTTTATTTAAAAACTTCGACAAAGTTTAAAGTCTATCTTTCCTCCTAATTACGCAAAAAAAAGTCATTCAATAATATGCAAAGGATCGTTCGTAAGCCCTAAATATTCTTTGGGAGTCCGGGCTGTTATGTGTTAATTGGATTAAAACAGGAATTCCTCGAAATTCCATGAACCCCTTTCTCCCTTCGTCTCAAGGGTAGTGCATGCCATACCATTCCGTCCGCGTAAACGCAGCATTAGAACGATAAACAAAAGTTACGTACAAGGGGTTGAAATCGATGCGTCATGGTAAGGAAGAAGGGTCGCGTGGGTGTTCCAGGGTAGAATGTTCGATCTCGTCGGTTGCGATTGGCTGCGACCATCAAGGCCCGCCCAACCATTGGTTGAGTGGATTGTTGCGTATTCCCCACTCCTCAAATCGGAGTCCACCGGGAAGTGGGGATTGTATACGTATTTGACATATCATGAACGGTATACGTACGGTACGCAGGTGTGTCCACAGTGCCCGTGCACCCCGCGTTACGCGCCAGCCACACTCGGTGTCAAAAAGAGACGGAGGGTGGCTGTGAAACGAGAAAAAACATCAAAGTAGGCAAATCAGGAAAAGTGGAGGCAAAACATTGTACGCGTATTCCCGTTTGAGGGGTTGGTGTGTCAGCGAGCGTCACTTTGATTACAGTACAGTATCTCTCAGAAGAAGAAGCTCGAGGTTCACGTTCCCTGACGTCGTAGTTAGCGTAGAGAGGGTAGTTCTGTTTCCCAGCTGAGTAAGGGAAGTGCGCGGTGTGAACTTGCTCCTCGTCGAGAGAGTAGTTAAACCGTTTGCCGGCTGATAATGGTTCAGAGATTCTGCACCAGCGTGGCTGCGCTTAGCCTCGCCCTGAGTGTTTGCGTTGTTTTGCCGCGTGCCGTCATGGCGATCGACTTGAGTCGATTTTACGGTCACTTCATCTCAAAACGTACAGGTAAGCAAGCTGCTATCCCGTGGCCGATCTCGAACTTGATCGGTAATTGAAAGCTACAAATGCAACCTTGATTCGCTTGGTCGAAACACATTGTTGTTAAGCTACTCTTATTGAAAGAGTTTAGGGTTGATTTATTATACATTTCATTGAAAGGACTCACATATGGATATCTGTACATAGCATATACTTTATCTACATTCGTTAACAACACCCTTTGTAAAAGTTCACGATATCATATGCATTTTAACCTTTTCGATACGATCATGGACTATAATCGATAGTTAGGAGATGTTTCTGTATAGTCAAGCATACACTTAAATCCACAAATTTTTTCCTCGTTCAGTCGTTATGATAATTCATATGGGACATGTGTCTTCTTGACACGATATTATACATAAAAAATAAATAAAAATTTTCATACAAATCAGTAAGAATTTTATTAAAGCATATATGTAACTGTTCGACGATATCCACCGT